CGGTCAGTGACCCCGCCTGGCACGCGCGGCCGGAGCCCTGCGGGCGGGCCGGCCAGTGACGGCGCCTTCCTTCCCAGGGCCCTGCTGGAGTCAACGCCATCCCCAGTGGTCTTTTGTCACAACGACTGTCAGGAAGGTGAGCACTGCGCCAGCTTGCTGAGGGCCCGGCGGCGGCGGGCGGGCGGGGAGGCGGGGAGGCGGGGAGCTCCCAGCGGTCAGTGACCCCGCCTGGCACGCGCGGCCGGAGCCCTGCGGGCGGGCCGGCCAGTGACGGCGCCTTCCTTCCCAGGGCCCTGCTGGAGTCGACGCCATCCCCAGTGGTCTTTTGTCACAACGACTGTCAGGAAGGTGAGCACTGCACCAGCTTGCTGAGGGCCCGGCGGCGGCGGCGGGCGGGGAGGCGGGGAGGCAGCGCAGGAGCCCGAGGGGCTCCGGGGAGCGTTGGCGCCGTGCAGGCGCTCACGTGCCTGCTACGGGTCGAGGCTGAGTGTCCCGCGGCCAGCGGGGGCGTCTCCGTAACGCAGGCTTCGAGAGGACGACGCCTGTCGCCCGTGCCTGGGGGCACGTTCACTGGGCAGGTCTGGGGGCGCCCCAGCGGGGAGCTGGGGTGGAGGACTGAGCCCGGCCGGCGAGCCCGGCCGGCCCCTTCAGCGAGCGCGTGCCCGGTTTCTCTGGTCGCGGGAGGACGGCCCTATGCGCTGCCAGGCCGGGTTGAGGCGACCCAGCTGAGCGGAGGTGTCCAGCTGGCCTTGCTTGGCCGTCTCGCCCCCCCACCTGCCACTGACTGGGATCCAGCGGCTTTTGCTGGGCTCAGCGGCGTGTTTTCCTGGTGAGGCCAGACCCTGGCGAAGACATCCTGAGATGCGACTTGTTTATTAACTATCCGGCCAGGTCGGCCGGTCGGGCTGCAGAAATGTCAGCCCGGCTCGTGATGGCCGGGCCCGCGGGCGGGGAGCCAGCCCGGCCTCAGCTGCGGGAGGCCGGCGACTTCTCTGGGCCATCCTGGTCACTGGAAACTGAAGGCCAGTGCTGAAGCGCCGAGGACAGGAGGACCCTGGCCGGGACCAGGCAGGCGCCGGAGAGGGTCCCAGCCACAGCCGTGTCCTCCGCCCTCTGCAGGGAACATCCTGCTGCTGGACGGCAGGGAGCGCGCTGAGCAGCAGAAGCTGATGCTCATCGACTTTGAGTACAGCAGTTACAACTACAGGTACGCGCCGGAGCCCGTCCTGCTGCCGGGGCGTCGTGACGCGCCCCGACACGGCCGTGTCCGGTGGGCAGTCTCCCCCGGGGCCGCGCCTGGCTGGCCGTGGTGGCCACGGCTGTGGAACACGCTCGGGGCCGCTGGCCGCTGCCCTGTCGCTGGAGCTGTCCAGCCGCCCCGGGGTGGGAGTGGCGTCGGCAGCCGGCCTCAGCGCTGTCTCCTCCTCGTCAGGGGGTTCGACATCGGGAATCACTTCTGCGAATGGATGTATGACTATAACTATGAAAAGTACCCCTTCTTCAGAGCCAACATCCAGAAGTACCCCACCAGGAAGCAGCAGGTAGGGGCCGGCGCCGGCTGAGCAGTGTGGCCGGGGGTGCTTTTTACTTAAGATTTATTTACTTAGGCATCAGAACTGGGGGACAGGCCAGCGGTGCGGGGCTGAGAAGACTCAGCAGGGACAGAGCTGGGAGCAGAGCAGGCGGATCATGACACACTGCTGAGGGGCAGCGGGGGCGGGGCGGGGTCTGCTGCGCCCGGGGTCCCTCCCTGGCCGGGGTCGAGCTCACACTGCTGCCCCTCGTTTCCGTGTCAGCCGACTCCTCGCCCCGGCCCGGTCACTCGGGCCATGGGGCCTCTTCTCTGCGGGCTTGGCCAGGGCCCCTGCCCGCCCAGGACGGCCGTGGGCTCGTGCTTTCTAGTGCGGGAGGCAGGTAGCCGGCGCCCTGTGGGCCAGGGTGAGCCTCTGACGTGTGCGGCCAAGTGGTGCCCGGCGGATCGGAGGCTGCTCCTCCCGGAGCCAG